TCAAAACTATGCTTGGCTTAAAGACAATATTAAAACAGATTTCAGACTACATAGAATATAAAGAGAAAATATTACATATGCAGCTAAAAATCTGTGTTCAGCCTTAAATTACAATTTAAAAACCTCCATACAATTAAAGAGTGAATGAAACAAGTATCTAACTCAAGAAATTTGTAAAAAAATAAACCCAAGGAAAAATTAAAAGTTAGAGATGAAATCAGAAATTAATAAATTATTAAAGAGGGAAATGACCGATCTGGTAGATAAATCCAGGGAACTGATTCTTTGGGGAGAGGAAAAGGTAATAAAATAGATAAACCGTAACCTAAAGTATACAAGAGTGATTTTTAAATGTCAAAATACTGACATCCTGGTGTTTTCAACTACCATATTGGTGCACATGATTTCAAAACTCAGCCAGCAGCTTTGTTTGCCCTCCCTGACTCTGCCTACTATTGTCATCTCACCAAAACCTATGCTCTTCCAAATCCTTCTACCTGTGCAATCTTTGTTTTCCACTAAGTTCTTACAGCTCTGCACCCTCAAAACATAGAGTGCCCTCTGTAGGTGATATCTCTCTCTGATAAAGAGGAAAAAGCAAGGTCTAGGGTAGGGCAGTGTTGTACTTGAGGTTCCAAGAGTAGCCCAGAAGGAGTGGCCTGAGAGTTTACTCTCTTAAGTACTGAAACTTGGACTTATTACAACAGGAACAGTCTCAAATGCACCTGGGTTGTGGGAACTGAGGAAGCAGGAAGTAGAATGATGATATAAAATGCTTACATTTTTACATATTTAAAAAATTTGAAGTTATATAATGCTTATAAATTTTTATATTTAAGATCTATTAAGAATTTAATGAATTCTGACCACAAATAACTGAAACACCCACCTGTCCATTCTGCTCCTAGATGGCAATTGCTGTTACTAGTTAGTCTAATCAAGCAGGGAAGAATTAAAAGCAGAAAGAGTGATAATAAAGATGCTCTAAATATTTAAAAGGCCAAGAGGGCAAAACTATTACATAAAAATTTGATTATGTGGCTGAATTGGTTGATTTTTCAAGGAAAATGCAAGCTGCCAAAACTAACCGAAGGAGACAAACAAATTAAACAGACTATAGTTAATAACAACAGAAAAAAACTGAGAAAATGCTACCACTTTAAAGGGGACTGGGAAATGACATCAGATGCATTTTATAAATTATCAAGAATTGTTCCAGAGTTTAAAGAAAAGCTTCCAAATTGTTTTTATATATTTTGTGCATGCTTACTGATTCTAAATCTGACAGAACACAAAAATAAAACTATAAAAATTTCCCTTATGTCACTATACAGTTCCTATAATAGATTATCCATAACAGAACTTAATAGTTCATTAACATTAATTCTCAAACACATGAGAACCATACTTAGATCAAAGGTAGCTCAATGAGGCAATCTATTCGTATAATATACAGTATTAACAGGTTGAAGAACTATGTGTCATGTCAATAAACCTTGAAATGTGATCTGATAAAATTCCATTTCCATTCCTAATACCAAATTACTTAGTAAATTAAGATTGATGCTTCTAATCTGATAAAGTAGTAAAAATCTCAAATGAAAGGGTATACATACCACCATGCTTAGTATTAATACACTTTTCACACTAGAAGCATTTTCAATACCATTAGAACACACAATGCACATGAAGTATTATTTTTTTTATTCCATATTCTAGAAGTATCAATTAAGTTAGAAAAGAGAAAAGGAAAAATACTGGAAAAAGGCAAAATAGCATTTGTAGATATGATTCCAAGGCAAAAAAAACCCCCAGAAGAATTGTGAAGAAATTATTACAAATAAAGGAATGCAGTCAGGTGGTGGGTTACAAATTAATAGCCAAAGTTAATAGCCTTTATATACATAAACCAGAAAATAGGATGTGAGGAAAAAAAACCCCTCTAAGACGGGTAAGATTTCTCAAGGGAGGAACAACCTAAGACAGGCACAGTCGCAGGGGGGCCATCAGGTGAGAATTTGGGGATCAACAGAGGTGAGGCTCAGAACCTCACCCCCCCTGCTTTGAGAGAAATCTTCTGCATCCGTGGATGTCTTGCTGCCCTTGTCTAGCCTGGATTAATACTTAGTCCATAGGCACACACCTGATCATCTGATCATCTACATTTGCCTTCTTACAGCACTAAACTATGTTTTCTACCTTTATCTTGCATCTACCTACCACTTCAGCATTTTATTAAAAATAAAAATAATAATAATAATAGGAGAAATGTGGGATCAACATATAAATCAAGTACAAAAATCAAACGAATATTCATATTTGACCTGATTGTTTATAGGTCATAATGCATGATCAAAACCGAAAGTTTCTGTGATGAATGCCCTTGTACTGTTCACCATGTAAGAATTTATTCACTATGTAAGAATTCGTTCACCATGTAAGAACTTGTTTGTTATGCTTCAGAAGATTGGAGACTGACGAGAATTAGGCTTGAGATGGATTAATGATTGTACATTGAGCGTTGACCCCCCCTATACTGAATTTTATTGTTGTTAACAACCATTTGATCAATAAATATGAGAGATGCCCTCTCAAAAAAAAAAAAACAAAAAAAACCCCCTCTAAAAGATAAAATACCTAGTTACAACCAAAAAGAATACTTAACATGCAAGAACCTATTCACATCTAAATAGCTTCCTAAAATTAATTCCAGTAAGTAGAACATGCCATACTCTTAAGAAGAGCTACTATTATAAAAGTGATGACATTTTCCAAATTAATCTATTAACTTAATGTAGTACTATTTAAAACATATCAAGAGAACTTTGGAGAAACTGAACAAAATGGTAGTCAAGTTCACTTGGAAAAACATACAAGAAAGTCAAAAAAGATTTTCTATACAAGATGGTGTTTATAACAGAAGGCAGAGTATGGAGAGGGAGGGGTGTAATTCAGGGCAACCAGAGCTTTAAAACACACTATGAAGCTTCACTAATTAAAAGAGTTTGGTACTAGAAAAGAAAATGGACTGAGGAATGAAAGACTACTGCAGAAATAGGCCCACAAAAAAGAACTTTAGTTATGACAGGATTTCTCAATCTCGGTGCTACTGATGACCATTTTTGACAACCAATAATGTCTCCAGCCATTGCCAAATGTCCCTTGAAGGGCAAACCGTCCCTGGCTTATTACCACTGGTTTATGGTAACAGTGATATTTCAGACTGGAGGTTGGGAGAACAGGTATCATTAGTAAGTAATTAAATGGTATTGGAATAACTGGATCCATCCTTAACTCATTTACGATTTCAAATTAATTTTTAATTATTCAAGTTATGTGTGGATATTTTACCTGGTAAAAACTAAAATTATAAACCTCTATCCTCATCATTCCTTTCTCCTACTCTGAAGAAACAACTGCTATTTTGAGTTAGAATATATCATTCTAAGAGCTTTTGCTATGTATTAAAAAATATATATATATTGTGTGTGTATGTACATGTGTTATATATGCACTTGTGGAAATATACTTTGATGCGAAATAAGTTATAGAAGAAAGCATGTATTGACCTAATTTATAATTTTAAATAGAACAGGTTTTTGTAGGTAGAATACAAAACCCAAAAATCATAAAAGATCAATGGATTATTAGAATTTGTAAAAATTCAAAAACTTTTTTAGCAAAAATATCATAGAGCTGAAAACATAAAAACTGGAAAAAATCATTTTCAATAAGGGCTAATTTCTTATACGTTGAGTACCAAAGGAATTGGCTGTTTAAAGAAAAATTATTACAAATGCCTGGAATAATTATATAAATAAAAAATGAGACACAATTTTTCACTTGTCATATTATTAGTTGAGTGTGATGACATTCCAGAGTTAATGAGAGTATAAAGGCAATGATCAGTCCAACAGTTTTTTGCAGGTTTTAAATGTTCCAACTTTCTGGTGAACAATTAGCACAAGTTCTTTGACCTTGGAATTCCAGCCCTAGCAATTTATCACATAAATATAATACTCACATAAAGCTTGACAACAATATAATGAAGATTTAACAGCAAAACATTGGAAATAACTGAAGTGTACATCAAATGGATACCAGTTGAATTAAACATGGCATGTCTATACAAAGGGAATATACTGTACTCAACAAAGAGATAAGGTAGATCTGACTGTGCCCTTCTCAAAGAGCTCTAAGATGCATTTAAGAGATGGAAAAAATGTAAATAATATAATCAATCCTGTGTTTAAAAAAAAAATTAAGGTAATCCTGATTATTTTAACACTCTTCTCACTAACACAACTCTGAAATTAATAGGTACAATTATGTTTCTCAATGGATTCCTTTGTACCTGAATTCTTGCTATTCAGGAACCAAAAAGATTAAAAAAATCAAAGGGATACTTGGCATATATATAAAAATAGAAAGATGTATGAAATGATGTATATGCATGCATCTTTTTCCTGGAGTAAGTGCCAACATACTATTAAGGTAACTTGCCTGTAAATGATGAGAAGGATTTCACTTCTTACCTGATGTCTTCCTGCATTAATGGAATTTCCTAACTTAATACATTTTCAAATAATCTACATTTACAAATTTTTAAAATTCCAAGTATATACATTATTTTTTAAAAAGTCAGCAGAACCCTGCATAGGGAGATTAATAGCTCTAGCTTTTGTACCTCTATGTGTGTAAATGCCAGTAACTGCTGTTATTTTTTTAAAAATTAATAAACACTGTGAGAAGAGCAAAAAAAAAAAAGGGAGAGAAAAATACAAAAAGAAACCTCAAATCCCAGTCTTTAAATAGTAAATTCTCAGAAAATGAGGCATCTAAGATGCGCCCCCTCCCAGTATTTCTCACTAGAAGAGGAAAGAAACTGTATTTAGGAAATGAAAATAAAGTTGATAATTAAATGTCAGCTGAGTCTATAAAAACTGCAGAGGTATTTCCTAAATATTTATTTTTCGTATCTACAGTTACATACTACTTACCCAGCTTGGAAAATCAGACCAAGTTGGAACTCGCTGACAGAGGTCCCGGAGAATACGTATGATAATCACACAGGACTGCAGACCATTAGCTCTAGCCTTAGGAGCAACACAAAAACCAACTGAATTAATCTTAGAAATATTAAAGATATCCCTTGATGAAAAAAAGTTAAAATACCACTGTTCAATGGAAGCTCAGATAAAAATAAAACAAAAATAACCACACTTAAAATTGAATTCAATGAGCTGCCATTTACAGCAATATTTTATGCCAGGGTTAGTATTTAAAAGCTGGTATTTAGGTCAAAGTAAACAGATTATACAAGAATACTATTTCTTGATCCCCTGTGAACCTTGACCTGTGTTCATTTAAAACAGTGAACTTAAAAAAAAAATCTGCCTACATTAGAAATAAAAGAAAAAGTAAAGAGCTAAAAAGTTTGTCTAGGGACTGAAAGGTTAAGGAAATCTGTTTGGTTTCCCTTCTGTGCCTTTGCATGGCTGCAAAGTCACTAAACCAAACAGCTGCTTCCTCACCTTTCACTCCCTACACTTATTAACTTAGAGAAAGAGGGGGGAAAATCTTAAAACTATACACAAAGCTTTAAACACATATTCCATTATTTAAAGCAAAGTTAATCTGCAGCCTTATGGAATATAATATATATACACAAACATGTGATGTTCCTAAACAAGTCAACTTTAAATATAGCCACTAAAAATAAAAATAAAAAAACCCAAACTATGAAATACCCCCCAAACATAAGTTTATTGTCAAATTAATAGTAACTGCAATATGCAGATCTTCATACCCAGCTTTCTATGTTAACATATTTTCTGAAATTTAATTTAAAATAGTATTGCTTGGGAAATCTTTTGAAATGTTTAAACACAGTTAAACATGTGTGCTGAACTACTCTCTCATAAGGCTACAAGAAAAAAGTAAAATGATGTTCCGAACCTGGAACCACTTAGCGTGGCGTAGAGCAGCCAGAGCGTCAAGGCATTTTTGCCTGTCCAAGACGTCCGGTGGGTCTTTCACCATACCCGAGGTTACATCTAAAATGGATTGAATTGGCAAAATGCAGTGAGGAATGGGTGTTTGACCAGGTGAGCAAGACACTTCCTTAAAGTAGCATCAGTGTCACATGAGCCATTTGAGAATTTATCAGCACTTTAATGTACCCAGGGAGTTATTTTCAATAAATTTACATGATATGAAGATCAAAAGGAGAATTAATTAAAAATCTTAATTTAGAAATACAATAAATAGTTTCTGCAAATGTAAACTTTACCCACCAAAATAAAATTAAAAGGAAGGATTACTAGACACAGAGCACGATCACAAAGACAAACAAGAGGGAACACAAAAATCCACCTTAATAAATGAGAATGTACAATAAACCATTCTAAATGGTCACAGGTTATTTTGGGGCTAATACAGCAAAGAACTAATGATAAATATGGAATGATCAATACAGTAATAATCATAGAAAAAACAAAGAGCCAAAAAACAGGCAATTCTAAGAGTTCAATGTTTTCTCTTCTCAGGGAATTTTGGCGATAAGGAATTATGAATTCTTTTTAAAAATTCAAAGTTCCCACAAAGTCCTCCCAAGAATAATTGGAGAAAAAACAGTGGGTCAAGTAGAAAAGGGCAATGGGAACTAGCACAATTAAATAAAGTTAAGTATAGAAATAGAAGAGATGCAGTAAGCAGTGATGATAAACAATATGAAGTGTCTATGGTTGTACAGTAACTAATTTTAATCAGATTATTGTATTAAAACATAAATGAGCTACATGAGAAGAAAATATGAACCTAAACCAGGACAAGAAGTTAACTTTACATTCTTTAAAGTAATTGGAAGGCCAGCTGTATATTCACCTAAAAATATCTGTAAAATGTGTATAAAAATAACAGCAAATTTACTAATTAAACTATTCAAAAGTAAATGCCAATTAAGTCAATCTAATTCACAGCTCTTGGGATCTTAACAGAGTAAATATTTTCTAAGTATAGGAAAATAATATACCAGGCAAGTATCTATTGAACTTAACAGCCTTTTGGCTAAAAAGCAACAAAATTATGGGGCACTGAGGATATAACTTAATAACACTGAGGGCACCAAATGAATACAAGGGACAAAAGAGGAATGTATGATTAAAGAAAAAGTTAAAGAGGATTTTCTGCAACTCTGGGCAAGTTATTCGGTTGTGAATTTATATGCATTCTGAAATCTTAAAAGATATTTATCTTTATTTTGAGTAGATAACATAAAAAAACATTTTCAAAGTGATAATTCCATCCCATCTGGGCTTTCTATTCTTAGTTCTTACTCCTCAAATTATCAGATGGCTCAGATTTTTCAGAAGACATATTAGAAGGGAAATTTACAGATAATCAAGGAACACTATGAGGCATTCTGAGAATGAACACCAAAGAGAAACTGGGTACTAAGAAGAAACTACCAAGACAAAAAGATTAATTTTTAATGTAATAATCTCAAAACCTACAAGGACCACCTACTAAATCCAGAAATATAGTGAACGTAAGAAATGAGCTATTCTGAGATACAGAAAAGGAACACAGGAAAGCACAGCTAACTAATGAAGCAGAAAAAGAAACAACAACAAATATAAAAACCCACTCCCCTCAAAGCAGGGTTAGAGAACATGCTGAAGGACCCTGTTTCCATTTCCCTTATTTACATTCTTTGCTAAAGCTAGTATGCAAATAGGTGGCAATGTACATTGTCTTTCTGAAAAGTTTCTGAATTTCTAATGTTAATTCACAATGTTATAATTTCCTCCAATATGTAAGAAAATTATTCTTTTTGCACATGAACATTCATAACTTGGGAAATTTTAACTAATGATAAAATTTCAAAGAATCAAAACACCTATTGTAATTTTAAACAAATTAAGAGCTATAAGTAGGAAAGTTCTGTCAAATTTAGAGTGTGGATTTTTGCATCCATTTTGTGTTTCAAGTGGATTAACCCCTTATATATAGTGCTAAAATCATACTTGTTGCCTAATACCCAGTTAACAAAACAAAAATCAATTTATAAAAAAAAAAGGCAAAAAAAGAGCAAATTCTTACCCTACATGGAAGTATTTCACAGATTTTAAGGGGTTAATCACTAGTTAGAAGACATGCTGTGTCCACACTATTTTATGATTAAAAGTTAATGGGAATATATTAATTTAAATTAACATGGTTATATAAAATATATAATCCACCCAACCATTTAAAAACTAGTGTGAACACTGCTCAATTCTAAAAGAGACAAAGACAAAACAAACGAAACACGCACACAAAGGACAACAAATGCCAGACTCTGCATCCAAAATCCCTCCTTAATCAAATGGCAGGTGTGACACTGAGCTCTGAAAACCTTGGTCAAAAATCCTTCCGATGTCTTGGCAGCAACCCCTGACAGGAATCAATTCCCTCTGCTAGAAGGCTTTGGACCGGCCTGATAAGAATAATCAAGGAACACTATGAGGCATTCTGAGAATGAACACCAAAGAGAAACTGGGTACTAAGAAGAAACTACCAAGACAAAAAGATTAATTTTTAATGTAATAATCTCAAAACCTACAAGGACCACCTACTAAATCCAGAAATATAGTGAACGTAAGAAATGAGCTATTCTGAGATACAGAAAAGGAACACAGGAAAGCACAGCTAACTAATGAAGCAGAAAAAGAAACAACAACAAATATAAAAACCCACTCCCCTCAAAGCAGGGTTAGAGAACATGCTGAAGGACCCTGTTTCCATTTCCCTTATTTACATTCTTTGCTAAAGCTAGTATGCAAATAGGTGGCAATGTACATTGTCTTTCTGAAAAGTTTCTGAATTTCTAATGTTAATTCACAATGTTATAATTTCCTCCAATATGTAAGAAAATTATTCTTTTTGCACATGAACATTCATAACTTGGGAAATTTTAACTAATGATAAAATTTCAAAGAATCAAAACACCTATTGTAATTTTAAACAAATTAAGAGCTATAAGTAGGAAAGTTCTGTCAAATTTAGAGTGTGGATTTTTGCATCCATTTTGTGTTTCAAGTGGATTAACCCCTTATATATAGTGCTAAAATCATACTTGTTGCCTAATACCCAGTTAACAAAACAAAAATCAATTTATAAAAAAAAAGGCAAAAAAAGAGCAAATTCTTACCCTACATGGAAGTATTTCACAGATTTTAAGGGGTTAATCACTAGTTAGAAGACATGCTGTGTCCACACTATTTTATGATTAAAAGTTAATGGGAATATATTAATTTAAATTAACATGGTTATATAAAATATATAATCCACCCAACCATTTAAAAACTAGTGTGAACACTGCTCAATTCTAAAAGAGACAAAGACAAAACAAACGAAACACGCACACAAAGGACAACAAATGCCAGACTCTGCATCCAAAATCCCTCCTTAATCAAATGGCAGGTGTGACACTGAGCTCTGAAAACCTTGGTCAAAAATCCTTCCGATGTCTTGGCAGCAACCCCTGACAGGAATCAATTCCCTCTGCTAGAAGGCTTTGGACCGGCCTGATAAGCTACAGGTGGAAAAAAACATACACAATACTTGACTTGCTGCAGAAAGACTGTAGCAAAGGTTAGAGCATTTTGACCATTGCAAGCTTCAAGTCAATTAAATGTTTACTTAATGTTTAACTGTCAAACACGGTACCATAAAAATTAGATCTGTCATGCGTTTAACAGTTATTTGGGCAATTTATTCATTTCATTTAAATAATTTTTGATGCTAAACAGGATAATCACTCATTAAAGAGGCTACCGGCACCATGCGCAAGTCACAAGTCTTGTGATTTACAACTGCTCTTCCGGCAAAGCCTTCCTTACCCCTGTACTAACTTCCCAAAGCAAGCTACAGGCTTAGGCTTTAAATGATTTTAAGACACAGAGCATTGGGAGCTGCAGTGAAAGAGAATACATACCATTATTCTGCAGCAAGAAAGAAGCAATCTTCATAATGAAGCTAAAGACATGGTTTACTGCAGTTATCTGCAGCAAGGAACACTCTTATCAATGTTTCTAAACTTTTTGCATATCCAACTTTCAGCTCAGTGTCTTGAGGTAAAACCTTTTGATTTACGACTTTTCATTTCTCTCATATTTATGAAATTCAGAACAATAATTCGAACTCAAGTCTGGGTCAGACAAAAATATAGTTTTGTTTCCTTTAGAAGGGATGGGGTATCAAAGACTCTACTACAAATACTATAGTTAACTTTAGATTTTTGCAACATAAAATGACTTGATACTGCACAAATTTAACTAAGCCTAAATTTAATTAGACAATTAAATTGAAATAAAATTAAATCATCATGTGAGTATAATTTCATCCTAAGTATAGCAACTTTTACTTATAATATATCACGTTAAAATATATTTCTTTAATTATAAGAGTGATAGGCTACATATAGTTGACTAGATTGATTCAAGAACTGTTTTGCAGTACCATCCACAGCCAGACCTTGTGTGGAAACTCATTTTCACATAAAAGATATTTTACACAATACCAGTTTTTTTAAGATGCAAAGCTTATACAACATACAAGTCCTGACGTGGTGTATATACAAAGTATGCAAGACTAGACATGTCTCCCTATGACCACATTTTTAATAAAATGTTCTTTTCCTGGGTTATGGAAAAAGCCCAGTGCCTTAAAATGCTTTGCTGTAAGAAAATAAGTTTAAACAGACAGTAATTGAGAGCCTACTGATACCATTTCAAATTTTTAATATTTAATATATAGTATTTTATCCTCTAATTGTGTCACAAAGAAATATTAGTGTGAATTATAACTCCATACCCAACAAGTTCAGAGGTACAAAAACAACATGAAAGGAAACAAAGTAAATTTTATCTGACCCATAAAACAACAGAACCAACATATGGCAGACACTGACCATGCTTTTTGGCTTAAAAGCTTTTGAAGCTTTGAGAATGTTATAGAACAGTCCCTAAAGCAACATTGCTGGCACCAGCTGGATTTCACATTCTACAATTGTAACTTAAGTTTAAAAACCCTGAATTGCACATAACTCACTAACTGCACCTACACCATTTATTTTTCAATATCTCTAGTATAGTATTAGGGCCAAATGCCCAAATCTACGTGCATTAGGATGCTCTGCATTTATGAAAGTGCTTCAAACCAAAGAGCAACCTCAGAGAACTAGAAATATTTACCTGAGAATGAGCCAAATCCATGATTACATATATAACAATGCCTCTTCAAATGTAGATGCTATATTAACCAATTTTGTTTCTGAAACTCTCGTCTTTTTTGTAAGACAAGGCAAGAACAAGAACTTTTTAACGGAAGTTAAATTTGTGTCCCCCTTACTAGCAACACTTAATTTTTTCACATGTCAACTATTTCAGTAAGAATAATTTTGAACTTTTTTCCAGAAATCTGAGGTTAGCAAGAAAAGAAAAAAAATCAAGAAAATCAATAATACCATGAGTGTTTTATATAAATGTACATTATTTAAAAAGAGCATTTACTTTCTGGGAAATCACCTTAAGCAAAACTGGTTGCCATATAACACAATCAAATTCATACATAATGCCAGCATGTTGCCTTCTAGGGCTTAATGCCATCTAAAAGAGTAGATGAATAAAAAAAATAGTTAATACTAGTAGAATGTTTAATGGCTTTCCAACCTCCTTCCCTCATGTTCTCTTCTCGAATAATTGGAGATGTCAGGGTGATAGTGACTTGCATTTTGGGTTCCACACATGAATTCAAAATTATTGCCGCTTCAGACACAGCACATTTTATGTCATACTTCTCAGGACTTATAACCTATGTAATGAAAAGTATAAGAAATTAGTTGGACCTTTTAAATTATTAGATAAAACTGTTTCATTATGGCTCTTTCATTTTTTTTCCTACCTTACCATCTTATAAGGACTAATTCATATACTACTCCCTCCAAGAAGCCTTGCAAAAAATGCAATTATCATTAATCTCTTGGGCTCCACTTTCTAGAATTCTTTGCTGTGCTAATACTTATCATTATTTTTATCATACGAGTTATTTGTGTATCCCCCTTAAGTGACTTTGTGGATAAAAAAAAATACTGCCATATTTATTAATGTACCTTCCAAACTGCATCTGGGTAAATACTCATATTTTCACAATCTGAATGAAACTAAAATAGATACTTGAGCCTAATAGGAGCCACACATAATTCAACCATTCCCATTGTACAATATGAAATCAACAGATGCACATTTTATCAGGGAGCAAAAAGTCCTGGTTAGTATCAAGAAAAGCCAGGATTCACTGTAATCTGGTACACCTGTAATAAGCCACAGTTTACATGAAGAAATGCAACTACAGAAATTACATGGAGTGTTTACAGAATAATATCTAGGTTCAAATCCTGGCTGTGCTACTTCACTAGTGATATAAAAATGGGCAAATTATTTAACTCCCCTATATACTATTCTGGGGATAGTAATTTTAACTAACCTATAGAATTGTTAAGGATTAATTTAATTAAGTAAAGCACTTAAAATAGTGCCTGGCACATGGTAAGTACTATACAAATGTTAATTATGGTGATGATGAAGAATTCATTTATCTTGCTTATCCACTTGTACAGTAAGTACAGACTGATTCAGAAATGGAAAGAGTATTATTTTGCTTTTCAGCTTAAATGCTTAACTGTTGATTTGTTAGTATATATTTCCTGCTTTGTAGTTTTACTAAGCACACAATTAGAATGAGAACGTTTCTGGCAAATTACATAATTCTTGCAACATGCTTAAACCTTTTCTTCTCCCCCTCTGTTGACCTCGCAGCTTCAACAGAGCGGTAAGCAGACATACAATGCCCATTCTGCTAGCTCCTAATATGTAAAAAGACTCACTCACAAAAACTTAACTTCCTATCTAGAACAATGGAAATATGAAGCAAACACAGAAAGTGCCAGTTATTAGAGCTTACGTTCACTACATGCGCCCTGCTATCCCTTTTGTTATCAGTTGCTCTGCTATGATCAGGTACTATTTATTCTGACTCACTACTGTGAAATACCCATTACAAATGAAATGTCAACTTAGATTCAGAATGCCAAATTAAACTCCAAAGTTTTGAAATAAGTTTTATACTTAAATTATTTAAGGAATCTATTTTAAATCAGTCTGAGATTCTGATAAGCTAATGTATAAAATTTTTAAAGATTCAAATTTAAGAGAAAAAAAAGTTTGCTTTTGTAGGACCAAAAGGGGATATTCCACTAAATTGTGCATTGTCATGACTTTTGGAGACAGAAGTAATTCTTACCATGATAACATGGAGAAAAACAAAAATAACTGCATTAAAATTGGGAGATTCAAATCAGAAAGACTGTTTTAGTTACTATAGTTTATTAAGAACATGTATTCAACTAAATAGGAAAAAAGTTCGTGAATCTAAAAAATTTGAGCTTTCTAGATAGACATGGGCTTTGCTTGAAATAAATAAATAAATATACAACTTTCTGTCCTGAATTGCCTTCTCTCTTATGATTCAAATCTTAGAAAAAGAACAGGAAGAGGACATGTGCTACAATTTTACATTTTTAAATAAATTAACAACATGGCTTCATGCCAAATTCAAGCACCATAAAACATAAAAATACAAAGTAGAAAACAGTTCTAACCAACTTGCACAATCTAGAAAAAAACTCCATATGGAAAGCCAAGACAAAATTTTAAAGACTTGTTTAGGTTGAAGCTGAAACAAAGTTAGCCCTACCAAAAACTTTGAACTAGACAAGCAGTAAAAATGAATATTTCCATAATACTTACAGCAAGCTGTTTGGGTAGGTTTTCTGCAATACGGCTTAATAATGTCTTTGAAGGTTTCTCTGAGCACAGCAAAACAAGGTTGACATTTCTATCTCCTCGGAGAAGTAATCCTTTTGCCAAAACTCCCACTCGCAAAACTCCCTTTAAAGCTCTACAGTGAGATCAAATTATATTATGACATTTCTCTAATCAAGCAGAACCATAATAATCTCTAAACATATAAAAATAAATTCAGTAAATTTCATACTAAAATTTTCAATACAATATAAAAACATTTAATATTTTTAGAAGTATCTTTCATTTAGATAAGATATACGGATAGGCAAACAATTAAGAGCCAAGTTCTCAGAGGGACAACTGCAAAAAACACTAATACTTCTCTCACTTTATAAATTAGAATAAGTCATGTTTAATATAACACAGAAATATTTCCAAATAGCAAAGGGAAAATGAAAAATTGTATCACAATGTAAAACTATGAAAGATGTTGCTAGAGGCAACAAATTAAAATAATTGAGTTAATAAGTAAATGTAATTAGAAAAACTATAAAGGATGCTTTAAAAACAGATTTAAAATAATTTCATATGAACTTAATAGTAAAATTACGAAGTTTGAGATTGTATGGAATGATTTCTCATTTTAACAAAAGGAAGTTGAGATTAAAGATGGTGTGAGAGGTGAGACAGAGGCTTCGTCCTAAAACCGCATATAATATGAAAATATAATTAATATGACTAACCCTGAAAAAGCAACAGGAAAAAGGGCTGCATCAAACTGCATACACCTGGAGAAAAGAATAAACCTCACGGAGCAGGGTAACGTACCAAAGCTGTGGCCCAGCTGGACCCAAGCCCTTCCCCTACCCCAGTTCACTGGCATGAGGAAGAGAAAGAGCGGGGAGGGAGTGAAGGCCTGAGACTGCTGAATACCTAACTCTGGAGATCTGCCCTGGGAGCACAAACCTACATTTCATGGTGCTTTCATGATACTCTTGTGATTACGGGGTTGGAAAGCTAAGACAGGCAGAATACCTGAATAGACTGAGATTCCAGCCACTTGTGGAAAGCAGGGATCCATATCTGGCTGCTCTGGGACAAAAGAAAGTCAGGCAATCTGAGAAACCTCCTAACAGCAAGAGGGCTATCAAATGGGCAAGGATTGCACAGAGCTTACTGCTCAGGAGAAAGGACAGGTAGACAAAATTTTCCAGGTGCACTCTGTCCAGCAGGATGGGAACTTTCACAATCTTCAGGTGCTCCAGCTTCCTGGCTGGCTACACAGCTTGAAGGACCCCCTCCGTGATACACAGCCTACTGGGCCTTCCTCCCAGCCAGCCCCACCTCGCTTGCACACCGGCAAACCCTACCCTGGCAAAAGGCCAGAGAGAGGGAAGCCCCATCTACAGCAACTATAAATACAAAGCACAGAGGCTTATGCCTGTGTGCTCGGCCCACTGGTTCTGGCAGTGGAGACAGGCATAGCAGACGGGAAGCAGGAACAGCTCTCTCCTCCACCCAGGCACAGTGACCGCTCCCCTGCGACCCCTGACATTGCTTCAGGGGCTGAGCAGCTCCAGAGAGTAGAGCTTCTGTGCACTAGAGGATGCCATATACAAATATGAAATGCCAAAGAAACCTGGTTCAAAGAAAAAATTATGAATACACCACCGGACAAGATTCAAATGAAATCTTTCATATGAATCTTCCTGAAAGAGATTTCAAAATAAAAATCATTAACATGCTCATGGAGGTACAGAAAAATATTCAAGAACTCAGGAATGAATTCTGGTCAGAGAGCCAATTGTTGAAGAGCACAATGGAGGATATTAAAGCAGATTAGATATGGTGGAGGAGACGATAAATGAAATAGAAATTAAAGGAATACAAAGAACCTGAGGCACAGAGAGAAAAAAGGAACTCTATGAATGAAAGAATATTGAGAGAACTGTGTGAACAATCCAAACAGAACAATACACATTATAGGAGTACCAGAAGAAGAAGAGAGAGAAAGGGAAAGAAAGTGTCTTTGAGGAGGTAATAGCTGAAAACTTCCCCAATCTAGGGAAGGAGATAGTCTCTCAGCCCA